AGTTCCCTATTGGGATTATAGGGTGACTGTATGCTAAGACTATGAAGCTACAGGTCAAGCATATGGATATTAGGAAATTTTGAATCATTAAGACGAAACAAGGCAGAGTTTGGGTGTGTCTCTAGCAGACCATCTGGCTTTACTCCCCAGGTTCCCTCCATGGGTATGTGCTAACTTTCCACTTTTGTCCAAAGTACTGCTATAAAAGTTTAGGAAGTGTTACATTAAGAAGATCAAGGGTTTAGATGACTTACTTAGCTGGGGTGTTAGTTTCTTACTGCTGCTGTTAACAGATTACCACAGCAGGCTTTGGAGGGAAGGTTCCATTTCCTTGCTTTTTTAGCTTCTGGTGTGTTCCTTCTATATTCCTTGACTTGGGTGGCCTCTGCATCCATCGTCAAAGCACACTACTTGAGGGTTGGCTTTAGCTCACTTGATTCACAGTTGATTGTCAGAGCACATTACTCCAATCTCTGCTTCTCTTGTTCTCTAGTCCTATCTTCGTGCCTCCCCTCTTATAAGGATACTTATGATTTCATATAAGGTAGTAAAACATTTTTATAAGAAAGGTATTACAGTAACTGTTCCTTCTCAAGCTTTCTTAACAGTGTTACTAAATGCATGTACATGATCTGTTTCTGGAAATTGGCTTTTACTAATGTTACAATTCTTCCCTGTAATTAGTCTAAATGAGGTTTTATTCTTAGTAAGATTTAGGTGACATTACATTGGTGGTCCGAAGAGAAGACGGAGAGGGCTTTTCCCCTAGTCTTGGAACAAGTAACAGCAGTGGAGAACATCTGCGCAACAGGATCAGGGCAAGTGGTATAAAGGTGAGAACAGCATGCAGTGGAAAGTATATGGACTTTGGACCTATATTTGAATCCCAGCTCTGCCATTAATATTGTTACCTCAGGGGGGTCACAGTTATCTGATCCAGAGTTAGGTGCTTTAAAACGTGTGTTTTTTTAAATACATGGCATAGGTAGCTTGAGACTGATCATCGTTTTGTGCGTGACAACAGACAAGCCTAAAACTAAAATGTAGCAATGAAATAGCTGCTACAATTCTAAGTCCAGTTCAGTTATGTGGGTGGTAGGTGTGTCATTTTCCAAGCCTCAGGTCTTTACAGCATCATTAATTAGTTGGCTGAGTATTTTAAGTAAATAAAATACAATGACATATACTAGCTATACCAGTGCACGGACAACAGTTGTACTCAGGACATCAACAAAAATGGCATCACTGACTCACACAGACCACATGGAAACTAGGGAGCTTTATTGGTTACATATTGTGCTGCAGAGCCAACAGACAGCATTAGAGCCAGAGGATACATGCAGACAGGCAGCTTCCACTATACACATGCACCCAAGGAGCCCTGAGTCACTGCTCATGGCTTCGCCCTGGTTTCCAGCAACAGGGTCCGGCCTCCTTGGTCCCAGGCTTGGAGCAGGAATGTAGAAGCTGCTGCACCTAGACTCCAAGGGGCAGGGGTGAGACCAGAGCACCTGCCTGAACAAGTAGATGTGGACTGACAGATACTGATGCCCCCTCGCAAAGGGGCCTTTAATGCATTAACAGGTTTTTTTTGAGGGCTGTACTTCCCTAGCCCTCCCAATCTTTAAAATACAAAAAAATAGACTTTATTCTCTTAAAAATACATTCCATTCAGTACATGTTCTGAGCTGTGAAGCAGCAGGAAAATAGGGCCCCTTTCCTATGGTCTTGGTTGTGAGGCTTTGAGGAGAACACCCTGTGGCCCACCCAGGGTAGACAAAAGATAATCCCTAAAAGCAGCTCTTCCAAAGCAATCTCGTCAGAGTGACAACAAACCCCACATCGACAGAGGCAGCTAGGGACCCAGCCTCTGGGTCCCGGTTCCTTTACTGGAAAATGGTAGCACCTGGCGCTAACCCACTAAACATAAAGCACTAAAACTGCCCCAGGATGACAGGTCCAAGATCAACATAGACCCTCCCACACCCCATGAGAGGGGAATGATTTATGTGCAGGCTTGCCTGGGGCAGAGGTTGGAGTCCTTGGCCCCACTGCAAATCCCCTTTGCCCACCATCCCTGCAGCTTTCTCTGGTTGCTTTTAGTACCAGAGTAGTGAGATGCAGCAGCAGGTGGAAGAGAGACCAGCCTCTGGCATTCAGCCAGCTCTGCTTCCTCCAACCAAGCAGCTCTGGAGTGCCAGGTTCTCTGGGCTCACTGGGAACCCTCCCACAACAAATACACCTGCCAGTAAAATCTAGAGTTGGAGCTACGCTGCAGAAGAGGCTTGTCATGTAAGTGGGTTTATTGGCTGGGACAGTGGGAATATTTGGCTTGACTGGACCAGCTACTTAATTACCAGGTCTCCCCTTTATATGGAAATTTCCTCCAGGACCCCTGGTGGTGAGGCCTGGGTCCAGAAGGTCACACAGAGGTTGCTTTTCAGAAAGGTGCCTTCCAACTTTGGAATCTGAGAGCCAGCCTTGCCAGCCATTTGAAACCCAGAGGAACTGAGCCTCCAGCCTTCATCTGCTATTACAAATGGTATCTTCTGCAATGCTGAGGACACTTAAAAATAAAATCTATTTTACAATGGTTCTAGAAAGTACGCAGATTAAGGAAACAATATTTATCCTGAAATAATTGTTACAATCAAACCCTATTGCACTCAGATTTTAAGATAGCAGCCCCCAGCAAGAGGGCACCATAGCTGTCCCTCTTCCAGAGTATTTGGGTAGTGGCAGATGTTGGTGCTGCTGCAGTGTGGAAAGATCCAGACTTTGGCACCAGGAGCTACAGCACCAGAATCCAGGGCTCCAATGCCCAAAGAAGAGAATTAGCGGCGAAATCTTTGTAGGCATGGCTTGGCACCCTTTTGTTTCCACCAGCAGAGAAGAGCCACAGACTTGGTTTCCTATAACCTCAGTTGACCACCGCAGAGGTCTGTTTCCTAGTTTCTGGCCAGGGACCCAGGAGAAGCAGCAGGAAGAGATTTTGAAAACAGCATCTTAAAACTGAGCAGCTGAGTCAGCACTATGTAGAGGAAAGATGAGCTACACAGCAATGCCCTTAGACTGGCAGACCTCCAGAAAATGGAAGTAAGCGCAAAACATTCCTGACCCCGAAAGGAAGCTCATCAGCGTGCCCCCAAGCCGCCTCCAGGATGGCCAAGTCTGAAGGCAGACACGGGCGAGATGAACACTGGTTCCCACACCAAGTGCAGGCAGGGACTATGGCCCACGAAGCACAGCAACGGGAGACAGCCAACTTGTGTCACAAAAGCCAGGGGATGCTGTGTGGCAAGTGGGCAAGGCTGGTGCCAAAAGGGCTGCAGAAGCCATCTGATCTTATCCCTTCATCTTACAAACTAGAAAAATGAGGGAGCTTCTCTGAGCTCATCCTCCTGACATTAGAACATGGAAAGAATAAGGCCCAGAAAAACAAGGCCGGGGAGGACCCATTCCCCCAAACCATCTGGATGCTACCTTCCAAAAGCAGAATCACCCCCAGAGGACAGTGTAAACAGAACAACCTCAGAATGCCAGATTTAGGACCCTGGTCTCTAGACCATTACAAAGAATTCATTTTTATAGATAAGGAAACTGAGACCCCACGAGGACAGTGACTTGCCCAAAGTCACACAGCAAGAAAGTACAAAGCCATGAAGCAAATTCAGCTTTCCTGACTCCTAGTAATGCTCTCTTTCACTATGAAGGAACAGTGTCTGTGCCATTAAAAGTAGCCTTTGAAAAGGGAGCCCTTCTCTGAACTGAGAAAGTTACACAAAAAGCAGTGCCAAGAATATACGGTTCTTTTCAACTTCCCCATGTGACGTAAGGAAACTATTCAACTTTATGTGGCTTCCTGAAAGGTTTGCTGCATTTTGTATTATATAAACCTGGGGCCCTCAGTGGGCACGTAGTACTTTTCCTCCAGTGAAGTCATCACGACAATTTGCAGAAACCATGGGCCCACTTCTGTAGGAATGCATCAGTTCGGTAAAGTGCGATTCCTCCTCCTCCATGGGGGAATGAAGGAAGAGGAAGAAAGTCCATGCCTTTCATGGAACTATTGCTTTGTGAAGTGACTGGGGAAATGTTTCTTCCAGCCCACTTTCCCCCTTGCTGGGCACTTCCTAGAAGGCCTCGAGTATGCTGGGTCAGGCCCAGTTTAGTCCGGAAGTATTCCAAAGATGGAAACGACGGAGTCAGCCTGAAGTCTCCAGCCACGGGAGAGGAGCAGGCAGTGCCAGCAGCATTACGGGTGCCCAGAAAAGGAGATGCGTGAGGCTTGTGCACTTCCAGGTGCCTTTGGAAGGTGAGCATAGAGCCAGGGGAGGGGAGGGATGATGCCATTCCAATAGGTGGGTACCCGTGTGCTCTGCCCCCAGGAAACAATTGTCAGCCGGGGGCGATGTCCGAGAAGCTTCAGCCTAAAGGTTGGTCCCGTAATCCCTTAGAGGCAGCACAGACCTCTTCTGCTGTACAAGTCTGAGGAACTCCAAAGGGGAAAGGAGTAGAAGCCCCCTAGATGGAGGTGATGGCTGCTAAGTCTTAGGGGGTATTTAGGCCCCCAGGGCAAACAAGGAGTGAACTGGATGCGGTGAGACGAAGAAATGAACCACACTGAAGGGGCTGCCCTCTGACCCACTGAGAAGCAGAAGAGAGCTTTCAGCTGTTGTGGTATGGTGAGGATACAAGGGGTTTCTAGATCTTTCCCCATTTGGGGGCCAGAGTGGCCCGTCCGATCTGGGGACAGGGGCAAGGAGAGAGAACTGATGCATCAGGGAAGGCTGGGCCTGGGTGACTATGTCCAGCTTGTAGTTTCTGATCCCCTCTGGCCAACTGGCAAAATGACCCGAGCCACAGCCTGGTTTGCCACAGTCTCCCAGCCAAGGCCTGGCGTCTAGCCTGGTTAACTGGCCTTGCATCCTTCATAGGGCAGGAAGGCAGGAGAGCGGAGAAGCAGGAGCAGAGGAGACAGCAGACCTCACCCAGCTGGTTCAGTTGTCCTCGGCACAGGGCCTGGCTGGCCGTAACCGTTCCTCAGCCCGGGCTCGCCCGGGCTCTGGCAGCCCCTGCTTCGCAGGCAGTTCAGACCGCTCCAGGGAGTTGTGCAGTCGTCTGTGGACACCAAGTGTGCAGTCGTCACCTTCCTCCTGTGCCAAAAATGACAAAAAGTGAGCTGCGAAGGACAGTAGCGAGTAACAAGACACACTCCCTCCCTCTCCCAGTGGTCGTCTTCAGCCTGGCAGAGGGAGGTAGAGTGCAGACAACAGCTGAACTGCAGAGATTTGCTTTGGCCTAAGGAAACCGGTAGACTACAAACTCCCAAGCTGCTGGGGCTCAGAGGGTAGACTGGCGGCTCACAACTGAGCAAGGGCATGTGGAGGACGGGGCCTGCACTACATGGTCCTGTAAGGAGGCCCAGAGACCCTTGAGTTCTGTGCGTGCAGGCTGCATTTCCCTGCTGGGAAACAAGGGAGTATATACTGCCGAAAAGGACACTGGACCATGCTTTTCCTACTTTCCACTTATAAACTACCAAAAAGCCCAGGTGCCTTCCCTTTTGGGTCCTACACCTATGCCTTATCCTGTTTGTCAGCCAGAGCTTCAAGGGACTAAACACCCCTCTCTCTCTCTCTCCATTCTCCTACCAGAGTTCTGCCTTTTCAGTGTTGGTCCTTCAGAGAGAACGCAGATCAAAACAGAAGTAAGAGTGAGAAACGTTGGCAGGGTAGAAAGAGTACTGGATTCAGAAACGGGAATCTTGCGGGCACCGGGGTGGCTCAGCAGGTTAAACTTCTGTCTCTTGATTTCAGCTCAGGTCATGATCTCAGTTTGTGAGTTCAAGTTCCACATCATCAGGCTCTGCACTGACCGCATGGAGCCTGCTTGGGATTCTGTATCTTCCTCTCTCTTTGCCCCTGTTCTCTCTCTCAAAAATAAACATTTAAAAACAAAAACAAAAAACGGGAATCTTGGATTCAAATCCTAGCTCTCATCCAATAATTCATTTGGGTGGCCTTAGGTATGACACTTTGTGGCTCTGACCATCCGTGTAAATCTAAAAAGTGGAGATAATACCTGCCCACAGGGCTCTTGGAGAAACTGTGGCAGTGGGAACGTGCTCTGTCAGATGGTGAGTACCCTATATGGACTCACAGGACATTTCAAGTGAATGCACCTGCCTTTTAAAAAGAAGGAAACCACTTCCAAAACATCTCTCATCCTCAGAGGCTCCACATCTAAAAGACACTCCTAGGGGCTTCCCCTTTAGGTGCTGTTCTGACACTCTGACCCTCAGAGGCGGAGGTGGTTCTGGATTTATCTATCCTGTAATGAGCCGTACTGAACTAGTTCTGCCCTCAGACTGATGATAAAATGGCTTAGACAAAATAAAGTGACACATGGACACAAAGTATATAAAGTAGGCCCAGTGGAAGCCTCACTCTCCTCCCCCATATGCCAGCAGCTGGCAAAACTTTGCTGTGAAAACTCTCTCCCTGCCCCCCCACCCCCGTCCTACGTGTGCTACAGAAGGGTCACCGGGTACCCTGGCATAGGGCTTCCCAGTGGCCACAGCTGGTTCTTGGGCTTCTAGGTGCTGCTCTATAGGGTTTTAGGGGGAGGTTTTTTTTTGCTATGCTGGCAAACCAAGAGAATGGAGGCTAGAGCTCTCTTTTTTGTGTGACCTTCATATATAGAAGAGATAAACTGGAAAAGGGGGTTGGGGAAACTCATGCTGCTCTCTGGCAAACACCTCCTTCAAGGTACTAAACTCTTCAAGGCCAAACCTACCTTATTTTCAGTTCTCTGAGCAATCCATCTAGCTCTCCCAGGATTTCTCAGCCGCATAATCCTGAGACACACAGGCCAGAGCAGAGGGAGCAAAGAGGAAGGTAAAAGAGTAAAGGGGGGGGGGGGGGGGGGGCAGCAGTGGGGCTCACCGCGCCTGCCGAGTGGTTCCAGGCTGCAGCCGAGGCAGTGTCTCCCACCCGATTCCGACGAGTCAGCACCTCAGAGACGGTGAGGCTACTCTGGGTCCTTCTGGAGGTGAGCTCAGGGGCATCCCCTGAATTTCCTGCCCTTTGAGCACCCTGCTCACAAAGGTACAACTTGGGCTGTCCAAGGTCTGAACAGTCTGTGGAGGCCCTCTGGGTGTAGGCGTTGGTGGCTTCCACGTTTCTACCTATTCGAGTTGGGGGGTCTTCTAAGGAGTTCAAGTCTCGCCTACTCTTCCAGGCGTTCCGCACAGTAACGTGTCTGGCATCTGAAGAGCCCACTTCTGAAGGGGCACTATGGCTTTTCCACCTGATTGTCTCCGCTGGGGGGGCATGGCTGTTCCTCTCCACAGGATCTGATGGCTTGATTATAATGCTGCTCCGAGAGACCACTGTTTCTGGCTTGTTCTTCAGGGGCCCATCTCCCATTCTTTCAGCTTCTGTGAACTGCAGAGCAATGTCATGTTTGTGAATGGAGAGCTCAAAGGGAGAGCTGACGTGGTTGCTGACTGATGTGAGCTCTGCTGGCCCAACCTGGATGTTGCTGGTGGATGTGTGCCTTTCCCTCGGGGCCTCACCTGGGGCAGCTCTGGGGCTGCCGCTGTCAGAGGGGTAGATAGTTATGCTGCTTGTCACCTTGTTTGGCCCTGGTTTGGAGGTGGATTTCTGCTTCTCCATTGTGGCCTCAGTTCCAGATCCTCCCATGATTTTTTTCACATCCTTATCAATGATGACAGGTTTGATGATGGCTCTAGACCGCAACGCCTCTCTGGGGCTAAAGGGCCGCTGGCTTTTTACCCCAGCACCATTGGCGTCTGGGAATTCTGTGGCATTGGTGGAGGCTCTGACAGGTTTCACAGACTCACTTTCTGTCCCAGCATCTTTATCATTCTCAAACAGGGAGGTTCTGAGTCCCCCTCGGGATTTGGCTCTCTCTCTAGAGTTGGGTTGGTGTTTGAGCTCTGGCTCTGGAGTGATGGTGGTGTTTACCAATTTGGCAGTAACAAGAGACGTCACATCCACGTCGTCATCTGAGTCTGGCTTCTCTCTGCCACTGGGCTTGATGACCCGGCACCTCAGGGTCTCATGTTGACTGCTGTCTTCCATCACGACTGCTACGGGTTGATCAACACCTTCTTTATTTGGGGTTGAAAAGCCCTGAAGGATGTTCTCTTGGCTTCTGGAATTATAAGGATACTTTGATAAAAGTGGAGGCTTGGAATTTGGGGAAGTGGTATCAGCCTCCGGGCCACTGACAGCCTTTTTGCCCTTGGAGAGCCCTTCTGAGGAAGATCTTCGGGATGAGGCCAGAGCTCCAATGGCCTTAGGACTGCCACAGTCTGCAGCCTGGGTTACCTGACTTCCATTGCCAGGTACCTGCCCCCTTTTGCCAAAGAGGGCCTCAGAAGAGGTGTCAGAAGCCTTGTCAGCTCTACCCAGTACGTCACTGGGAACAGATCCATGGTTGGTATTATCACTAAATGTTCGTGTTGTCTTCTCCACTTTTCCCTTCAACCCACCCTCAGTACCTGGTTTGGGAGTACTCTTCCAAGCTTTACTGTGCTCCTGAGCAGCAGGTGGGTAGCGGCTAAGCACTGAAGGCTGCTCCCTGGACTTCTTCCCTTCACTCTGAGAGGAGCCAGATACAAATCGGTCTTCAGTTCTCCTTGTCTCCTGAGTCCCACTGTCTGTACCCGCCCCGATGTTGGAAGCTTTGGCTGCCCTCCTATTGGTGAAACTGGGAGAGGAAACCTGCCTATTGCCCAGAGAACAGTTTTCATTGTTGAGCGCAATATCTCTGTTTCGATGCCTCTCCCGCTTCTGCTGAGGGGACAGTTCCCGCGGTGTGTGCTTGGACACAGGTACCTCATTGCCATGGCCTCTTAACTTAGTCCTCTCATGCCTGCCTTTGCCGGACAGGAAAGCCTCTTCCCCTTCTACCTCCCCGTTCTCTAACTCTTTCTGTTTCTTGATTTGTAGCTTTATCTCCTCCAGCTGGCTGGCTAAGAGTTTGTTTTTATTTTGTTCACTTAGGTAATTATCCTGAAGATCATTATTTTTGGCCCTCATTTTCTTAAGCTCTTCTTCCAAAGATTCAAAATGTTTGATTTGTGTCTTGAGTTTCTCAATCTCTTGGTTGAGATCTTTAACTTTGTTGTCTTCTTGATTTCGGTTCTTTTCGTTTTCTGATTTGTTTCTTGTTTCATTCTCTACCTGCTTTAGATAGTCCAGAGCGCCCTTCCTTCTTGATTCTTTGCACGTCAGTGTGGAGGAGATCCCGTCCTCAATCCGCAGGTCATTCCTTTCCAGAAGATTAGAAGCATTCCTTGAATAATCTCGGTTCATTTTTTTGTTCTGCTCCAGTTTTTGAGTGAGCTCTTTTATCAGTTTCTCATTCTCTTTCTCCTTTTCATTCAAGTATTTTCTCTCACTTACAAAGTTCAGAGTTAATGACTTCAGTTTTTCTAACTCTGACACTAAACTCTGCTCAGTTTTATCCAGGCGGTCCTCGGAAGATTCTAGTTCTTTCACTTTGACCCTGAGCATTTCCAGCTCAGCGGAGATCTTCTTTGTCAGGTTTCTCTCCTCATTCAGGCTCAGACAGAGTTGGGTACAATCGTTCTTACTCCTGCCAAAGGCTTCCTCCAGCTTCTCCAGTTCAGCCATTCGTTTCTGAAGCCGTTCAATCTCAGATTTCAGCTCCCGGGTGAGGTTTTCTTCCTCTTCAAGCTTCTCCTTCATCAGCTGACACAGATCCTCTGCTCTCTTAATTTCCTCATCTTTGCCTTCAATTCTCAGCACTCGCTGGCGCAACACTTCAATCTCCGCCAACATGCTAGAATTGCTGCCTTCCGCCTGAATCACCTTGTCCTGGAGATCCAGGAGCTCATCCTCTGCTTTCTGGAGGTTTTTTGTGGCTTCCTCCAACTCATCGAGGCGGCGACTTAGACTTTGTAACTTAAACCGCAAGTGGCGGCTGGAGGCAGTATCCTTGTAGCTTGTAAATTCAGCCATGTCTACTGCTAGCCGGTGTGGGCTCCTAGAGGCATCCAGTTCCACTCAGGGGGCTGAGAAATGGTTACCTTTCTCTTGGCATCCACAACCTTCTTTGGCAGCTGGAGACCATTATCAGTCTATAGAAGGAAAGCAGATATACACAATGGAATATTACTCGGCAATCAAAAAGAATGAAATCTTGCCATTTGCAACTACGTGGATGGAACTAGAGGGTATTATGCTAAGCAAAATTAGAGAAAGACAACTATCATATGACTTCACTCATATGAGGACTTTAAGACACAACAGATGAACACAAGAGAAGGGAAGCAAGAATAATATGAAAACAGGGATGGGGACAAAACATAAGAGACTCTATATGGTTGCTGGAGGGGTTGTAGGAGGGGGGATGGGCTAAATGGGTAAGGGGCATTAAGGAATCTACCCTTGTAATCATTGTTGCACTATATGCTAACTTGGATGGAAAGCAGAACACATGTCAGGCAGCAAATCCAATTATCTGTACTTCAGCTCCCAGTTGTTAACAGACCTCTTGTATTAATTCTTGTGCCTAGAACATAGCAGGTGTTCAAATTTGTTGAATGAATGAATTTTAATAAACCTGCAGAAAAACACTGGTTTTTCTTTATGACTGTTGTTGAGGTGATACCTAGTTTCATCCTAATGAAGAATGCTACCAGTGGCTGCATGGCAAAAAAACACAGAAGAATACCCCATTTCTCATGGCAAGCTCTAAGAATCTCTTTACCATCTGCCACCTACATAATGTCAGGGAGTCATCTCAGGAGAGTAACAGCTCCAGTTTTACTTAGTTGTGAAATGGGTATAATAATCCCTACCACATCTCTCCCCGTTATCATTCGGAGATAATGCATAGAGCTCTAGGTAACAAAGCAGTAAATAATCCTAAAATTATTAAGAACTACAACAGCTTCAGGGAAAGAAGTAGATTAGTGAAAAAAAGTCACCTCACTGACACCAGGGAGATAAAAGGACCTAGGCTCCGTGAGGGGAGAAACATAAGGGTATATCCCTAGAGAATGTATAATCTTTGGCCTGCCTTCACTTGAGTTCAGAGTTCAGATTTACACTGCCCTGAGGGGTCTGGTATCAACTTCTCCTCGCAGAGAATCTAACCAAAAATGGTCTCAGCCTGGGAAACCTAGCAGAGGTAAACAAAAATACTCTGGAGAGAGAGACTCTCTACCAAGGTCACATAAGAGTCCTATAGATAAAGTCCTGCTGAACCTGAGTTTACAATTCTGAATTACAAAACACAGAAGGACCAATCTTTTACTATGACTGAACAACAGGTATTTACACCAGTAAGAACCAAAGTTAGTAAGACACACTAGAAACTGTAAGTACATTCCAATGTTTAAAGTCATAAAAGAAGGAATCAAAACCAGGAGACAAGAAAATGGTATCAACAAAGACCAGAAGATTTTTAAATTAACCAAATAGAATCGCTTAGAAATGGAAAGAAAAATGGCAAATTAGATGCAAATGAAAAGAATGCAGTATTTGAGAAGAGATATATGGAGATTATAAAAGGTAGCACAAACTTAAAAATTTTGTGAAAGAAAGGTTAATAGGGGAAATAAAATACAGAGGTCCAAAAATGAAGTTTTAACAGGTGGCCCAAAAGGAAGAACAGAGAGAATGGGGGAGAGGCAGAACTACTAGCTAAGTATTTTTCAAGAGTTGATGAAAGGGAGCCTCATATTTAGGAAACAAAGTCCCAACCAAGCAGGGTAAAAGTTAAATCTGCACCTAGACACATGATAAGGATACAGCAGAATACCACAAAGAGAAGAGAAGCAACAAGAAGGAAAAATATTCTATGAAGAAGTAACAACTGAACTGGCTTCTCAACAGAAACTTAAGTTTCAAATAGAAGACAAAAGACAGGATGGGGCACCTGGCTGGCTCAGAGCACGCAACTCTTGGTTCTCAGGGTTGTGGGTTTGAGTCCCATGCTGGATGTACAGATTACTTAAAAATCTTTTTTAAAAAACAAAACAAAAAAAAACTAGAGAGGTGCCTGGGTGGCTCAGTCAGTTAAACATCCTGAAGACTTCAGCTCAGGTCATGATCTTGTGGTTCACGAGTTCAAGCCCTGTGTCAGGCTCTGTGCTGACAGCTCAGAGGCTTGAGCCTACTTCGGATTCTCTCTGCCCCTCCTCTGCTCACACTCTGTCTCTCTCTCTCTCTCAAAAATAAACAAACGTTAAAGAACTTATCAAAACAGTATGAAGGTTCCTCAAAAAGTTCCTGCCCTACAATCCAGCAACTGCACTACTAGGTGTATATCCAAGGAATACAAGTGTGCTGTTTTGACGGGGCACATGCAGCCCAATGTTTATAGCAGCGCTATCGACAATAGCCAAAGTATGGAAGGAGCCCAAATGTCCATCGGCAGATGAATGGATAAAGATACGGTGTGTACACACACACACACACACAATGGAGTATTCCCTGGCAATCAAAAAGAATGAAATCTTGCCATTTGCAACTACGTGGATGGAACTAGAGGGTATTATGCTAAGTGAAATAAATCAGAGAAAGACAAATATCATATGACTCCATTCATATGTGGAATTTAAGATACAAAACAAATGAATACAAGGGAAGGGAAGCAAAAATAATATAAAAACAGGGAGGGGGACAAAACATAAGAGACTCTTAAATACAGAGAACAAACAGGGTTGCTGGGAGGGGCTGCGGGTGGGGGGATGGGCTAAATGGGTAAGGGGCATTAAGGAAGACACTTGTTGGGATGAGCGCTGGGTGTTACACATAAGGGATAAATCACTGAAATCTGAAATCATTGCACTATATGCTAACTTGGATATAAATTAAAAATAAATTTTAAAAATTAAAAAAAAACTGGACACCTGGGTAGCTCAGTCGGTAAAGGGTCCCACTCTTGGTTCCAGCTCAGGTCATGATCTCATGGTTTGTAAGTTCGAGCCCCAAGTCAGGCTCTGTGCTGACAGCGTGGGATTCTCTCACTCTCCACCCCCCCCGGCCCCCCACTCTCACTCAAACTTTAAAAAAAAGACAAAAGACATGGTAATATCTTTATGAAAGAAGGTACAATTGAACACTTTTCAGAACACAAAGGAAAATAAAAACCTAAGTGTTTACTATTAACAGACTTTCACTGAAAAAACTATTTATGGATGTAATTCAGAATATAGATGGGGCACCTGGGTGGTTCAGTCGGTTAAGCATCTGACTCTTGATCCCAGAGTCATGAGTTCCAGCCCTGTGTTGGGCTCCACGCTGGGGGTGGAGCCTACTCAAAGGAAAAGAAAAGAATATAGAAAATGATCACTTAGGAAAGGCATGAGATGCAAGAAGAAACAGTAAGCAAAGAAATCAACCCAAACAAGCATTGGTTCAGTTAAACAATAAACAAAAATTAACTGGGAGTGGGAAGGGGAAGGGCAGGATAAAACCAAAGTGGAACTACCTGAAATGGTAGATAATAACCTGTTAAGTCCTAAAGAAGGAAATCAGAATTCAAGTGTTCTTAAAACTCTGTATTTTGAAGGAAGAGGATAGAATTATTATAACTTTAGACCTTGGTAAGAATAGATATTAATAATATATCTGATAAGGCATCAATAAGCAGAGTATATATAAAGAACTCCTACAACCTAACAAAAAACAAACAACATGATTAAAAACTGGGCCAAGGACTTGAATAATTGATCCAAAGATGATACCCAAGTGACCTACAAGCATACGAAAAGATACTCAACATCACTCATCATTAGGGAAATGCAAATCAAAATCACAATGAGATACCACTTCACACCCATCAAGATGGCCACTCTCAAAAGAACAAGTGGTGGTGAGAATATGGAGAAACTGGAACGCTTGTGCACTATTGGTGGGAAAATAAAACGGCAAAGCTAAACAGTATGGCAGCTCCTCCAAAAATTAAAAACAGAATTACCGTATGATCCAGCAATTCCACTTCTAGGCCTAACTATAAAAAAATTCAAAACAGGATCTTAAAGAGATAATTTGTACAGCTATGTTCATGACAGCACTATTGCAACCAAGTGTCTGTCTATCAATGGATGATGGAGACACAAAATGTAGTATACGCTACAGTGAAATATTAGCCTTAAAAAGGAGACCTGGATGAACCTTGAGGACACTGTGCTAAGTGAAACAAGCCAGTCACAGAAGAGAAATAGTATATGATTTCACTCATATGAGGTATCTAGGAATATTCAAGTTCAAATAAACACAGTAGAATGGGAGTTGCCACAGGCTGGGGGAGGGGGAAATGGGAGTTACTGTTTAATGGGTATGGAATTTCAGTCATGCAAGATAAAAAAAACTGTTCCAGAGACTGGTTGCACAACAATGTGCAAATATATACTTAACCCTACTGAACTGTAAATGGTGAATATATCTTATGCATTTTTTACCACAGTTTAAAAAAAAAATAATTTAAGGGAGGAAAGAAGTAAAAAGCACAGAGAACGTAGGGCAGATTTCCCACTTCTGGTCCAGAAATGCAAATGTAAAGAGCTTAGAAGTCATCACTCTGTGTCTTAATATATAAAAAACTGAACAGACTGAAAATTCACAACTCTTCTTAGGTCCATGAGAGAAATGAGGTCACAAAAACCACTTCCCTAAAACTTAGACAAGTGGATGCAAAGAATCAACAATTTACAAAAATAGAAATTCACCAGTAGAAACCTCCATGGGAACCAGCAGCAGGGTAGGAAAACCTAAACTGCAATTGACAAACTGCTGGAGGCTCAGTGTGGACAACTCTGAGAGTTAAGAACAAGAGGGAGTCTGTGTTAGGGGGGGATGCCCCCCATTTGGTGAGCTTTACCTCCATGAGTTGAACGAGGTTCTCACAGTGAAGATGAGAGACTTCCCCCGCCCTGTGCATCCAACAGGGGAGTGTTAAATCAACCGTTTTGAAACCAGAACCTGGGGGAAGGGAAATACCCAATTCC